GGGTTGCAAAGAGGGTGGGGGGGGACAGAGCTGAGCCGTGCCGGGGTTTGGCATAGGGTGTGGAGGGGGGTCTTTTCAAGACCTCCCTGGCAGCAGTGTCCCTCTTGTAGCAGGAACTTCAGGGGTTCCGTGCCTGTATGTATAGGTGTGCTTCTCCAGCTGTGCATGAAGATATTTTGGAGCTTTTCCCAGTTACGGCTGGAACAAAGACCAGGGCCGTCTCCGTTCCTCCTTTTCGGCGCAACGAGCCGGGATAACGGCCCTGAAATGGGCTGAGATGCAGCCGAGGGGGAGGAGGGGGGAGGGGAGATGGAGCCCAGCCCCGGCAATGGCTGATAGAGCAAAGTCTGGGCAGAACCACTCGAGATCCTGGCTCCTGCTGCCCCCCCCCAGCATCCTTCGGGGCAGGCAGCGGTGGCCAACGGGTGGGAAGGTGATCCCCAAGAGACCATGCCCTGTGGAGCGCATCTTGGGGCAGCCACTGAAGCTGGGGAGAACGGGCTTCCTGTTGCTGGGTGTTAAAATAGCAAGTTGTACAAGTGGCAGGGTCTGCAATCCCCGCCTTCCCGACGACTCCATTTCTGGCTATCCAAACTCCATGGGGCCGCGCGAAACCCCATATTGTTTCCATATGTCGATGCCTCGGAGAAGCCAAACAAAGAGCAAACAGGAGAGTTCTGGGCCCTCTGAGCCCCTTGCTCAGGGAACACAGTCCTTTTTTGGCTCCTGAGGACACCGGTGAGAAGAAACTAATTGTTTGCTGCCCTTCCCGTGCCCTCCTCCCAGTGGGGTCTGGGAAGCAACTGGCAATTCAAGCGTTGGGTCTCCATCTGAGCCCAGCTGGCATGTGCTTAATTCCAGCTGGGAGGATGGGCTGTCCAGGCCAAGGCAGGAAGGGGTTTCACTCCCCCACTCCCCCCCCCCCCCCCCCAAAAAAAAAAAAAACAAACACCCTTTCAGCTTTAAAGTAAGTTCTTAGCCAGGCAGAAGGGATTGTTGCAGATAGCTTTAACCCCAAATGCTTCCAGAGTCTTTGAGCTTTACCTGCTGCTCACAGTGCCCTGAAGATCTGGTTTACGGTGTGTAAGGATCTGGTTGAAGAGCGATGGAAAAGGAAAGAGCGTCCAGCAGGGAAGCGAATGGAAGAGCTGCCAAAGCAATAGCATTTTTCACCAGTGCTGCTGAGCTCCAGAGTGGGCTTTTAAAGGCTTTTTTTTTGGTTGGTTGTATTGTTGTTTTTTTTTTCCCCCCCCTGCATTGCTCTTCACTAGAATGGATTCAACCTCTTATCTGAGGAATTCCCCAAATGAGCCGCTCTGTTTTAGGAGCTCTTTGTTCCATGGAGCAGCAAACAAATAAACACATAAATTCTTCCCGGGAAAGAACGCTGCATTTTCTACTTGGTGAAAACGAGGCTTCCCTTTTGCATTATTCAGTCTTGGGCTTTTTTTTTATTATTCCCCCCCTTTCCTTTTCTCGTAGCCTTGAGCTCCAACTCTTTGCTCTGCCTCCAGCTGCCTAAAATAATTCTGCACCCCTCTTGTGCCTTTTGTGGAAAACGCTCAGGCTGCTTGCTCCCTTCGCTCTGCAGTGGGTTATTTAGTTCTCCGTTTTGCTGGGGCAGAAAGTGGCACTAGTTACGACTGCGTATTTCCTCTCTTAAAACTATGTTGAAAGACTCGCTTCCCCTGCAAAGATTTTGTCTGTATTAAGACGAGGGGTAATAAGTAGGTGTGACAAAGAAAAACACGGGGGACAGGTAGGAGGTGCTGTGGTAGGAGCGTAGATTTAGTCACTGGGGCAGAGAATTTCGTGCCTAAAGGCACTTTTATGGGCATGTACAAATATTTCTGATGTGTTTGTATCTGGAACCTCTAAGCCTTAATGAATAGCACTGCACCACTCGACTCGTGTGTCCAGCATAGTGAGCAAATACATATGGGGACATATGTCCTGCCATAATGCCCACAGGAAGCCTATAATCCACTTCATTCCTGGTTGCAGAAGGTTCTTTTGAAATGGGATGAGTCAGTTTTCCGCCTCAGTTTGCCCTCAGGAGGGGTTGCAAGGAGAAGGGTTTGGGACAGGTCACCTGAGACTTTAGAGCATGCTGGGGATGAGGGAGCAGGAGAGAGCTGGGCTTTACTCCGAGGTCCCAGATGGAGTTTTGGCCAATGAGGTCAAAAATGCCACTGATGGAAACACTCTGAGGACTCAGCAAGGGACAATGACAGCCTGTAGGCTCAATGGCTTGCTCCGTCCTCCCCCTGCTCTCCTAGATCCCAAGGCAAGATCCACTGATGAATCTCTCCTGGGGCTTTTGACTCAGCTGGTGGCCCTGTAATCCTGGGTGCTGTGTGTAGGTTGTGGCTTCTGTGTTGGCATGCACAGGTAACTGGATTTCGTTGCAAGGATTGTTGGCAGACTGATGATTATTGGAGGATATATGAGACAGTCCAGGAAATTCTTGCTTAGGGGCTTGTGGTGTTGGCTTCATCTCCAAAGCAGAGTCATCTGGCTGCCCTGATGTGACATTCAGGATCTCCCACTAACCCGCTTTAATCTGTTTCCCTGAGATTATGTTTTTGTTTTCTGCCCCTGCCTTGGCAGTGGCTTCTCAAAAGTCATTCCTCAGAGCACAATTACTATTTTTTTCTCTCAATTTTCCCGTAAAAAGCGTTTCGTTTCCTGAGAGAAACAGGAGTGAGAAGAACCTCAAGAGGTCATGCAGTCCTGTGGCAGAGTGGGACAGTTGCTGACCAATATTTGTCCAACTTGTTCTTCAAAATACTCCGTGAGAGGGACTGTTGAGCATCAGCGAGCTCTCCCAGGGCTTCACTGACTTCACCTCCTTAGGATAATCCGTTTGTGGTGGGGCTGTAAGAGATGAGAGCAGGAACGATGCTGCCTTGCACTTCCCATCCTCAATCAGCCCCCGCTCTGGTTTGCATCCTGTGAACACAGACGAGAAAGGCAGTGCCTCATGGAAGGGCTCGCCGTCTAAGTGCTCAAAAATCAGAGCCCGTGAAGTATTTGGAACAGACCTGATCTGTCCGTGTATGTAGGTCAACAATTGCAGTGCGTATGTGATGTTCTTATATGTAAAATACAGGGAAGGTCATCCGTCCACTGCAAAGTGTGTATGTCCCTTCTGAGACACCAGCCCAGGCCGTTTCTGCAACCAATTCCCACCACTGAATGCTGTTTTCCAATCTTGCCCTTTTCTTGGGGAGACCTGAAGGATGTGGGAGGGGAGCCAGCTGGTGCTTTTCATCCTGCTGGTGTAGGGTAGGCCATTTCAGGGGACCTGCCACAGGGGAAGGTATGCTTTTTTTGCCGTCCCCCGGCTCCAAATTAAAGAGGTTGGTTGCATGTGCTGCCTTTGCAGTGCTATGACTCCCTGGGTAGCGGGACCATGCAAGTCTTTGCAGGTCTTGCTGCGACGCTGGGATTGCTCTAGCTGAGAAATGGTTTCTACCACGTGTGCTAGCTCAAGCGTAGCCTGAGCTTTGTGCCCTACTGCCAAAGGCAGGTCATGGAGAGCTGGAACCCCTGGTCACGCCTGGAGCGTTTCCCATCAGTGTGCACAGTAGCTGAGCTGAATAAGCCCAGGTTTCAGACTCCAGGTTGCAGGTGTGAATTTGTCTCTGTTGTATAGTTTCCAGTTGGCAGCTGTAGCTTGAACCTGCTCTTGGTGGAAAGAGGAGCATGCCATAAAGTACCAGGGTGACCTGTGATTGTGTTGAGGCTTTAGCTGACAGCTAATCCTGTCAAGAGCTCGAAATGTATTCCTTGTGCTTGAACCCTTAACTTGGCCAATTTTATTTTTTTTTTTGGGGGGGGAAACCTATTGCAGATTGATACGGCCGGAATACCAAGCATGGCCCCGTGGCCAGGTGCAGTGTGTGCTGTGTGTCATGGAATCCCAGAATGGTCAGGGTTGGAAGGGACCTCTGGAGATCATCCAGTCCCACCCCCTGCCAGAGCAGGGGCACCTCCAGCAGTTGCACAGGACGGCGTCCAGGAGGGTTTGGAATGTCTCCAGAGTGGGAGACTCCCCCACCTCTCTGGGCAGCCTGTGCCAGTGCTCTGCCACCCTCACAGGAGAGAAGTCCCTCCTCATGTTTAGATGGAACTTCCTATGCTCAAGTTTATGTCCTTTACCTCTTGTTCTACCACTGGGCACCACTAAAAAAAGTCTGTTCCCATCCTCCTGGCACCCTCCCTTTAGGTATTGATAAGGTCCCCCCTCAGTCTGCTCTTCTCCAGACTAAAAAGCCCCAAGTGCCTCAGCTTTTCCTCATAAGAGAGACATTCCAATCCCCTCATCATCTTTATTGCCCTTTGTTGGACCTTGTCCAGCAGTTCCCTGTCCTTCTTGAACCAGGGAGCCCAGGACTGGACACAATACTCCACATGCGGCCTGTGTCAGAGGTGGGGACCACCAAACGAGGAGGTCTTCCTACCAGCCGCTAACCGAAGTGTGCCTTTCCCTTGCAGCCCACACACTCGTCTGCTTTTCGTGCTCGGATGCATCCTCCAACTGGGCCTGCCTGACGCCCGTCAAGTGCGGGGAGAATGAAAACCACTGTGTGACGACATATGTCGGAGTGGGACTCGGTGAGTGGTGACAGGACCTTCTTCTCCTGTTCTTGGCTTCTCTCCTGGGTCACCTGCTGAGCTGCAGGAAGGCTTTCCTTCCTTTGGCTGGAAAAAAGGGGAAAGTTCGGCTTAGCAGTTGAGTGTCGGACCATCCCAAGGGAATTGTTACGAGGGACGTGCTGCCAGATGGAGTCACATTAAAGCCCACGTGCCTGCACTGATGCCGGCAGTCCGAGGGGAATTTTGGGGTGGGGGCAGGGAGGTTGCTGATGAATAAGTGAAAGGGTGGAGGATGCTGCAAAGCTTCCGTTGTAGGAAGGCTCTGGGGTTGCCCGTCATGCTTTTGCCCTGCGTTGGGCTTGTCCATCCCTGAATCCCACTTTTGCTTCTTGGCTCTCCGTGGACGAGGTGGGTTTGGCAGGAAGGGAGATTTACAAATTTCCTCCCTATGCGCCAAGAAAGATATGGGAGAGGTCCACGCATCCTGGCTGCTGTTCCCGGAGAAGCAGGCTGCTCTGGCAGGTCTCCTGGCACCATCGCAGAGACTGGACCCCAGCCTGGCTTCCCTACCTCTCCCTTGTGGGAGAGAGGGGTGTTGCATGCCTGAGTTGCACAGTCTGCAATGTGGGTGGGTGGTGCACGCACAAATGGAGGCCGGCAGCTTTTATAAACCTCTTGTCTTAGCGTGACGCTAATGGTTTCCTATTTCCTGCTGCTAAATGCGTGCTGCACCTTGCTCGCAGCCAGCGCTCGAAACGCAGCCTTCGCTCACGAGTGCCTTCCCCGGTGCTCTGTATGTCCCGTGCTCCCCGTCTCGCTTGAGGAATCCCTGGGTCAAGCTCGAGTGGGATTTTTGAGATTCTTCGCCGGAGCTGTGGTGGCCAAACTTTGGCCGACAGCCCGGATAGGGTGTCCCTGGGGTGTTGCACGGTCTCTAGAGTCTGTGTGGGAGGTTGTCATGGCTGTTCCTTGAGATGTGTGGGCTGGCTGAGATTACTGTCCTAGCCTGACGCCGAGAAGCACTTCATCCTCTCTGTGCCACCTGTGACTCTTCGGCTATTTCAGTGCTGTTATTTCCTTTGCAGAACAGGTGATCAGAAAGCCGAGAAACATTATATAAACCTGTCTCCTTTTTGCTTTTCTTCTTTTCCTCCTGCCCCAACCCGAATTCAGGCAGCAAGTCTGGCCAGTCCATCTCCAAAGGATGCTCTCCCATTTGCCCCAGCGCTGGGATTAACCTCGGCATAGCGGCTGCCTCCGTTTACTGCTGCGACTCCTTCCTCTGCAACATCAGCGGTTCCAGCAGCGTGAAAGCCAGCTACGCGGTCCTGGCCTTGGGGGTCCTCGTTAGCTTCATCTACGTCCTCAGGGCTCGCGAGTGATGGGGCTGGCCGAGGAAGAGCTGTCTTCCACAGGCTGTCGCAGGTCTCATTAGCCAATATCTTCTCTGTTGCTGTTTGCAAGGAGATCCTCTACTTCTCAGTAGGCTTCCAAGGTGGTTGTTTCCCAGACTTTACGCTCTTC